GAGCACTTAGAAATGCATTGGACCGCACAGTACATTTATCTGTTACAAATCTGCCAGCGCATGTTAGGTATGCAAATATTATAGATTACAGTCAGACGCAGAGGACCCTTTAACATGAACAAAAGGGCTGTGCTATAAACAACTGATCCAAAATGTAGTGTTCCTTTCCCTTTTGCTTTATACATATTAACAAGGTACCATTTGAAAAGGGAAAAGTCTGGTATATTCTCTCCTACGCCACGTTTGATGACTGAAAGCACTCTACTTCACCATAAATAAAACAGTTGCAAAAATAGACCTCACTTCAAACAGAGCAATAGCAGGAGAGGAGCTCACAGCTGGAGAGGAATGATTAAAAAAAAAAAAAAAGAACACATTAGGAATGAGAGGAGGTTTGAGCAGGCAGCAGCTGTCAAACAGGCCACCGTAGCAGAATGTCATGAAGAACCATTGGAGGTGGTGCTGGTTTCGCCGGTGGGGGATCCCTCTGAAGGCAAACGCCTCCCTTCATAATGGAGGCAAGGCGATGCACTGAGATTCTTACTTGCCGGCGATGCAGTAATGCTTAGAAGAGGGTGGGGGGGCGAAAAAGTCCATGTTGGATTAGTAGTGTGCGTACATTCACAGATAAATCCCGCTGTACTAAGGCTCAGGAGGTGTAGTGTGTGTCAGTGTGTGGCTGCACGCTGCTGCTGCTGCTCCTCCTGAGTCGTAAATGACTGAAAACGATGCTATTTTTTCTTGGAGTTGACGCTTTTGCAAACCCAGTTCATGCCCTCCTGAGGAGAAGAAGAAGCAGATTTTAATGAGAACATAGGGCTCAAAAATACAACAGCATCTCAATAAAATTGTCAGAAAATTTAGAAATGCTGCCCCTGCTAGGATGAAGGAATCTAGCTTGGAGATGCAATCAAACATATAATGGAAAAGTTGAGTGGAGGAAAAAAATGTGGTAGAAAATAAATGCACCTTTGAGAGGATTGTGAAGCCAAAGTTTAATTAAGTAACTTGTACTCATTGTGGCTTCAGAACAGGTCATCAGCTCTCATCAACCGACCTCACATATTAAATACCTGATGTTTTGTTTTACTGAGATGCAACAGTACATCATGGTCCAGATGTATGGCCTCCTGCTCACCTGAATCCCCTCTCCAGTGAGGGCGGAGCAGGACTGGATCTGCCACATCCGATCGCGGATGGTGTGCAGATTGAGTCCTTCTGCGATCTCTGACGCCGGAGCTGCCGTCAGCAGGTCCTGCTTGTTTGCGAAGATCAACACGGGAACACCACTCAGCTTCTCCTCATCCAGCAGCTCAGCCAGTTCCTGCAACCGACACGCACATCTGTCCATCAGACTCACAGATCCAGAGAGGGAAAGGGGAGAACCAAGCTGTCTACTGATGAAAAATATCAATTATTTAGTTGGGAACGCATTTTTTAAAAATTTGTAAAATTTTTTGCAGGAAATTTTTTTTTTTTTGCATCTTTTGTGACTTAAAGTGACAAACAAAAAAGAAGAACAACAGAAAAAGTAACTTTGATTTAATTTCAACTGTTTTTCTTTGTCTTCCTACTTTGTTATTTTTATTTGTCTCTCCACTATCTTTGGACATCTATATGCTGAATTTTTTCTCCTTTCTTCTGCTGTGAGAATCACATTTCCCTTTTCTCTACAGACTCCCAATGAAACTTTAGATCTAACCTTTGACTGGGCCCTTCTAACCCAGGAAAGTAATTTAATCCAAGCCATTCCATTCTAGCCAAGTCTTAATCCCTCTGCAGCCTCTAACAGTTTTCATCAAGGATTGTCCTCTATTAAGCTCCACCCATCCTTTAATCATCTGTGACCATAAGTGTCTCCAAACAATGATGATGCCACCACCATGTTTAACCATCAGGATGTGTTCAGGATGATTTCCAGTGTTTATGTTTATCCACAACTATCATCTCTGGAGGCAACCGCTTTCACTGTAGCAACATTTTTGTAGTAAAACACTTACTCTTTGCATAAATGAGCTTCTTTGTCTTTAAAGAGAAACCAACATTTTTATTTATAAAGCTTGAAAATGTGAAAAAAAAAAACGTCAAGGCGTTTGAGTTCCTTTGGTGTAGACAGAGAATGTTCTATCTGTTTGAACTGGTGCCTTAAGGCAAGCATTACTCGACCTCTTCATAGAGTTTTGCTCCTGAATTTTATTTAATTTGTTGTTTGTTGCCTGATCCCAGAAAAATATCTGTTTGTTTTTCTAATAAAACTAATTCAAACAGATAATAAGAAATAAGGAAAGAGTTTAATACGTTTCCCAGCTTGGAATTTAGATCATCAATAACCTGACAGTAGATGCTGGTCTCACTTACCTGACCAGTTTCCTCAAACCTCTTTCTGTCAGCGCTGTCAATGACATATATCTGAAACCAACAAAACACTGTTTTATATAAGTTCCAACAGGTTCATGTTCACAAATCAACACCACAATGTAATGTAGCAACAAGGTAAAGTTCATGAGAAGGAGATATCCTTACCAGCACATCAGTGTTTTCAAAATAGTTCCTCCAGTACGGCCTGATCTTCCGCTGGCCTCCGATGTCCCAGACGTTCAGCTTAAACCCCTGAGATTGGACGCTCTTAATGTTGAATCCCTGCAGGGAGCGGAAAAAATACCGAGCTGAAGCAGATTGGTACTTTAAACGAGACCAGCAGGAACAGAAGCGGTGTCCTCAGAAGGGGACAGCTGAGAGGTTTGGGTTACCTGCGTGGGGGTGATGTGGCTGATGTCCTCTGAAGCCAGCTGTTTGAGAAGCGTAGTCTTCCCCCCGTTGTCTAGACCCAGCAGCAGTATACGGACCTCCTGGTCTGGGGTGCTTTTTAGCTTACGAAGAATGGACAGCAATCCCTGCAGGAAACAGGGACCAGGTTCATTTGTCAAGGAGGGGGGGACAGATTACAGGAAAAAAAATCAAAATCCCAGGGTATAGAAAAAGGTAAAGGTTATCCTGGTCTAATCTGTCTATTTGAACTTAATGACAGAAATGAACTGAGGAAAATAATGTTATCCCAAATAAACACTGGTTTAAATGCTGGCTTCTTCAAAAATGAAAGAGATCACTTGGCAGGATTAACAAAATGCCTTTTTTAATGCATTTTGGTAAAACTTGAATAACACAGCAGGATGAGGCTTAAAATAATTAAATTACAAAGAAAAACTATGTTTTCTATGGACCTAAATAAAAAACAAACAAACACCCCAATATTATTTGGAGTATTTATGGTGAGATATTAGGATAATCACAAACATAACCTCATGTTTTGTTACACCAACTGTTGTACCAGCTCTACTACCTACTTAATCTTTACTTGATTTTATTTTTCCTCTATTTTTATTGTTTAATTCATGCAAAGCACTTTGAATTGCCTTTGTACTGAATTGTGCTGTACAACTAAAACTGCCTTGCCAGTTACCCAACATAGAAAAATTTAATGACCAGGTTAAGCTTATTTGTTTGGGCCCGTTCCATAGTTGTTTTTTCTTTTTTTAAGTGGTTTTTGTTTGCCTATAGGCCCCATTTATTTTACTAATCCGTGAAGGGCCTGGGGGCCAAGAGGAGTCTCTGTAGAATCAGTCATCCCTGCATTCACCTGGTCTCCTTATCAACAGGCCATACAAGAGTAAATAAAGTTCAACGTTACTTATTTTTATAACCATTATACAGCTGAATAATTCAGAACTCAGTAGCATGAGGTTGCGATAAAAACAGTTAACTTTCAGCGTGTCTTGAGTCTCTTTCCACGCAGTGCTGCATAAATAACGGTACAGGAACAGGAGCTGCGCTGAGCTAACGAGCTGAGCTAATCTCCCCTGGTAACTGACAGAGCAACAACACCGCAGCACCGGCTGCTTTTTATCCTTAGGATACAAACAGGAGGAGCCGCTAGTTTAGAATTTAACAAAAACGAGGCTTTATTAATGAAAACGAACACACACGCGGGTCTAATGTTGACAGTTAATGGCTAATTATTGGGATAAATTAAACTCACCATCTTGTTATCTTCTCTCCTGGAGACGCCGCTAAACGTGACGTCACACGTAAAGTGTACGTCTGGGATGGCGGTGCATTCATAGAACTCGGAAAAATTACTGCTTGAATTTCAATGGATAGTATTAGTCTTTTGTTTGTTTGTTTTGCTTGGGGTTTTTTTTTAAGTTGAAACTACAAAATTCAGAATATTTAATTGGGTTGTTTTATAATTATCAAACCGAAAAGCTAGTTTGTTTCCAAGCTCTTTCAAGTATTTTAACGTATCTGACTTAAGATTTTTCACATAATTTTTTTTGCCATCTTTGTAAAATAGCTGAACATTATGGAAGTGGATTAGGGTCAATGAAAGAATAAAACAAGTTAACTGATTTTTAAATATTATTTCAGTTTAATGTGGGAAAAAAGTCAGAATTCTGAGAAAAAAAAGTCTGAATACTGCGAGAAAAAAAAGAGTCAGAATTCTGAGGGAAAAAGTCTGAATTCTGAGGAAAAAAGTCAGAATTCAGAGATTAAAGTCAGAATTCTGAGAAAATTTCAGAATTCTGCAATTAAAGTCAGAATTTCGAGATTAAAGTCAGAATTCTGACTTTTTCCCCCATATTAAACTAAAATATTAAAAAATCAGTTAACGTTTTTTGTCCAGTGCCCCTAATCCTCTTCCGTATTTTTCTGTAGATTTTAATACAATTTTGCAGGTTTACGTGTAATATGTAATGTTTCTTTACCATTCTGTGTTTCTGTCTTTCACTTTAATGTGCCCGGAAACAGCACTTGAATGATATTTGACCATATTTGTTTAAAATCAATAACATATATATATATATATATATATATATATATATATATATATATATATATATATATATATATATATATATATATATATAAAGACACGTTCGGGAGGCGTGTTAAAGTTTTGCCACGTAAATTGGTGACGCATGCGCACAAACGTTTTAAACCATTTCACCTGAACGCAGCACTACGATTCAAGTATGGAGAACATGTTTGTTTAGCTGCAGGATACATGCTAAATATGCAAAAAGAAAGAAGAAGCAAACGCCACAAAGTTTGATTTATTATAGGCTTCGCTCGTGCGGGGATTTTATGAAGTTCTGTTGTTGAAGTGATAGCAGGATCCACGTCACGGAGGTAAATCTCAAGCACATGGTTGAAAACCTGCGGCTGCAGTCTGCTCTTTCTACTTAGGTTTGGTTCTCGCCGGTTTTTAAGGGGTGGGGGGGATCATCCTATGCGTTTGATTGGATGACGCGTTGGGTTAGTATGGTATCCCGTGAGCAGACCTGACAGGTCGCCCCGTGTAGCGTTTTGAGGATCCCTCTCAGGTAGGTTGGGTGTTGCTGCTGCTGAGCTGGTAACTCTATACCTAGGTTGCATCACTCTCAGCTAAACCTGACATGTTTGCCTTTTTTTTTTTTTTTTAACTATCCTAACCTTTCTTATGTAGGTAAAACTCACTTAGGCAGAATGATTCAGGTCCAAACCATGGATTGTTATTCAGTCCATGTCATGCACGTATGCTATTGAAATGGTTCTGGCAAACTTATCCAGGTGTGCTTTCACCTGCAGATCCGGTTTGTCAAGCCTGAAGTAATCCTTAGAATAGAGAAGAATCTTGAATGAATTTTAAAATCATTTTTTAACCATAAAATCATTTAAATTTGGTTTTAAAAGTCCATGTGAGATGAATGAATCTTGAAATGAATCTTAAACCCAATAATAGAATAATATAATAGCAATATGCATTTCACCTGCTGGCCATAGGTCTTGCAGAAGGCTGCATGGTTCTGCTGGAAGGTCCACTGGAAGGTCTCTCTGACTTACCTTCTAGAATAAGTTGTATTCAGCTCCACTCAGCTTGCCCTCAATTGATTGGTTTCCCAATGCCTGCTGGGGAAGACAAATAAGCTACCCCACAGCATGATGCTACCACCACCATGTTTAAGAGTGTGGATGGTATCCCCCCCACACACACACACACATTTATTGCATCCTCTACATGCTTTGTGGGAAACAGCAAAGAGGACATTATATTTTTATTCTTCATGCAACCGTTCAATCGAGTGATGCGTTTTTTAACTGGATCTCCACAGCTGCTTTCATGATAAGCGCCCCCTGCTCTGTCTTACAGTTTAGGACGGTCTTATCTTGGTATTTGTGCAGTGATGCCTTTCCTGACATGTCTGAGTTCCTTGGTCTTCATCATGCTGTTTAATCCATTCTTACAAATCTCTAGGATCTTTACAGAACATTTATACTGAGATTAAATTGCACAAAGACATTTGATTTCTTATGTATTATTTCTGCATTCCACTTTTAAGTCTTTTTTTTTTTCTAATTTAAACCAATGGGTTGTGCATGACTGGTTGCAGCTAAACACGTTTTTTTTTTTTTTTCCCCCCTTTTTTGCTTTCCAACATTTCAATCTAAATAACTAAAGAATAGCTGGCTGCCAGAACAGGAAGCGTAAAATGACTTACTCAAATGATTGTTGAGGGTCTGGTTTAAAAAGTTTCAATGATTAATATCATTTTTTTTATGTGCTGTTTCTGGAGCTTTCCCTTTTTGCATTTAAACAGGGCATCATTAAGGTATATTTATGTGTTAAATTGCTCAAATTTTGTCAGATAGAATGACTTTTCACTCTGTGCTATAGAGAAATTTCCCCCTGCTCATCATTCTACCCTTCTGGTTCTTTTTCTCTCTAAAAACTGTTACTATGTGAAGTGTGGGGTCAATTTTTGTGCATGCAGGATTGTTTGTGTCCAGAGATTTTTAAATTAACATCCTGTACCCTTTAGCTGCAGTAAGGCGTTTTTGTTTTAACGTTAACTCTCACGGATTGAGACACGCTGATCTTTGGCTCTGCGATCTGCGTATCCCACCGGCATCTGCAGCCCTTTCACCTACTTTCTAAGCAAACAGCTTCAGAAATGAACCAGTTCCAGCCAGGCCCGTCCTTCAGACACTAACACTGTATATGTCTTTCTTTTCATTTGAGCACTAAATCTGCTTTCCACCTAAATGTTGAGGTTAAATTTTACATGCAGAGAAGGAGTTTGGATGTTCTGCTCTTTCGTCAGGAGGTTTTGATTCGTCTTGGTGCTTAATAGGAAGCACACAGTATCTGCAGGAATCCAAAACGACTACGCATGGAAGGGTTCAGCAAGAGGTGGTAAATGATTTCCACTGGAAGTCTAATGGGCCTTAAGAAAATGTTGAAAACAGTTAGTTTTTATTCTGCCAGATTAAAACAGCAGCTTTATGTTGTGAAAAAGTTTAGCTCTATTTATATGATATAAATATCTAAGGTTTTTAATGAAAAACTATTCCAATGGTCCTCAGGCGTGGTCTGAAGCTCCTGGTGACCGCCTGCAGGGATAACAAGAGGACTTTAGGGTGCATCAAGCCTCTCCCTGACTAACGCCATGGCTTTGAGCTCCTTCGACATCGACGCGCCGCGGTGGGATCAGTCCACGTTTATGGGGCGACTGAAGCACTTCTTCAACATCACCGACTGCAGAACCGCGCTCCTCTCCGACGCACGGCTGGATGAAGCCAAAGCGTTAGTAGAAAGCTGCAGGTGAGGAAATAAATGTACCTACCTCCATCCGTAACACCTGTCTGGGATGTTTTAACCCAGCTGGAGCCGTTCTCTGCAGGGCTGGATCCGTCCCTCCAGGAACCACAGAGGAGCAGCTCCACTATGCAAAGAAGCTGTACGATTCAGCCTTCCACCCAGACACAGGAGACCGCATGAACCTCATCGGTCGCATGTCCTTCCAGGTTCCCGGAGGCATGGCCATCACAGGCTTCATGCTGCAGTTCTACAGGTAGCCAGGAGCAGACAGGAGCTCAGCAGGTCCTTCTGCTGTAAAGTGGAGGCTGAAGAGAAACTACTGCTCTGTTTACAGGACTGTTCCTGCTGTGGTGTTTTGGCAGTGGGTCAATCAGTCCTTCAACGCTCTGGTCAACTACACCAACCGCAACGCTGCCTCACCTATCACTCCAAAGTAAGATCTGGTTAATCATCATGAAATCAGTACTCGTAAAAAGTTTCCTGCAGGAATCTGATCTAATATTTTATGTCAGAAACTCACATTTCAGCCTGAGTCAAAAAAAAAAGATTTTATTATTGATCTACAATCTTTTTATCAAGCAACTCTGACCACATGAGTAGGTTCTCCAATTAAAGGCGGAGAACTGGACAAATATCCATTATGGGCTTTTATCTCTTAATGCCATCTATAGCTTCATTGAATAGAGGTCGAGCCATTTAAAAACTGTTAAAATGGATGGATTAAGCTATTCGTCATCATAGGACCCTTCCATTTTTCTCAAAAGAAAAGAACTTCCTGGTGTGCTTTGGTGGCGCAACAGTTGGCGCACACGACCCATGTATGGAGGCCTTAGTCCTTCATGCGGGCGACGACGGTTCGAATCCGGCCTGTGTTCCTTTGCCGCATGTCTCTTCCCCTCTCATACCCCCTTTCATGTCAGCTAACTATCCGTAGACACTTGTGCTGTAAAAAAAAGGAAAAAAAGAAAACACTTCCTGTTCTGTCTAGTTTATTTTGTTTCAGTTTATATCAGTAAAATTAAATTAAAACATTGTTTCCTAAAGCAGGTCACAAGGCTAGAGTTAAATACACTTTTTTCATTCAGAAATTCGTCTTTAAAGCTTGAGAAATGATTTGTGAACCTCTTCGCTGTCATTTTTCTGTCCACCTTCCATCGGGACGTCCATTCGATCTTTACTCCTTCCGCCTCTTAGGATGGATTATTCATTCGGTTCTGTTCAGGTTTCAGGTTCAAATCCAGAATTTAAACGTGTCAAAGATGCCCCCTGTGTCAGAGTTCTATAGGTTTAAGGATAAAATGGAGCCACTTGGAGCAGCAGGCGTCCATCGACACACATTTTCTTGAAGTGTTCCTGTTTGAGGTGAACCTTCTGTTTGCAAACTTTGCTTTTATCCTATAAAAAATTCCCAGGAGGAAGGCAGCGTGTCGGGAATCCAAGCTAAACGCCTACAAGCTAAACCTGCTTTTTTCTTTTTTTTCCAAATGTTATCAGCCTCCCGATTGAACCGGTTCAGTTCAGTTTAGCTCAGCTTTATCAGTCATATAGGTGAACATGGGGTCAGTCGCACACTGTTTGCAGTTGTTGAGAACTATTTTGTTATTCAGTAAAATAGGTCAAATAGAGACGGCTTAATAGAAAACGGAACGCTGTACAGGATGAAATGACACTGTTGGAGCTGAAACTCTATTTTCAGGGCAACAAACAAAACACCTTTCCTCAAACTTTCCTCAAGTTTGAGGAACGATTTAAGCTGATTATTTAATTTAAGGTGAATTAAGACACAAAAAGACATCTTTGAAGATTTGCTTTGTTCAGCTTAAGAACTTATAAACTATATTTATAATGGATGACAGAATATTGGCAGCAGCTCTAACCAGGAATTGATTAAAGACTGAGGCTGCAACGTTTATATTATTTGGATGGAGATTAATAAGCAGATCTGCATTCCACATGGGGGAGATGATGTAATGGTCCTATAACCGTACTGAAGTTTTGAAGATCGGTAGCATAACCTTTTGTTTTCAGCCCTTTGATTGTCCAAAAATTCCAAAAAACTGGATTTATCTTTTTCTGTGTGAAGGAAATTCTTCCTCAGTTCAGCTTCAATCAGCAGTTCTCTGGATTTATGTTCAAAGAGCTTTAGATGGTTTAAAGTTGGTATAAAGTTGGTAAAAAGAGGGTATCTGTAATGTCCAGTAGTCTGGGTTAGTGTGGGATGTCTGATGCATTTTTCATTCTTAAAAGGGAAACAAAGCGACTGGATTGGTTTAGAAAAGTTTACCCTGTCTTACGAATACTCTTATGTACATTTTAGAAGTTATCTTTTGCAACACTTTGTCATTCTGCAAAATCTGCATGCAGAAAATTCATTTAAAACGTAGTAGACCTGTCAACCCTGTGTGCTTACTAGGGCTGAAACAAGGTATTGAAATAATTGTCAACTAATTTAGTCATCTATATATCATTACCTGGAGTATAGAGACTTTGAAACATGCCTTTAGCTGACAGAGCGACCTACTCAGATCAGTAATTATATCAAAATTGTAAGAAAATACATGAACATTTTGCATTTAAAATAAATAAAAAAAAATGTTTATCAATATGCTCTATGCAGAACTCCTCAAGTGGAAAAGTTTTAGTTTCACCTGGTGTGAAAATCTTTAAGGAACCTCTTGTTCTCCGATTATTAATCTATTCATAGAAAAAATAATCAACAGATGAATCAATTTGCAAAGTCATCGTTATTTGCAGCCCTAGTGCTAACATTAGAATGAACATGCATCTATGAGAACAAATCTTTCGTTTGATGCCCATCGAGACAGAAAATCCCCTGAATTTACAAAACAGATGCTTTTTTTGTTGTTGACATATTTAACGTCTTCTGTTGTTTTTCTCAGGCAGATCGGAGTGGCCTACGCTACAGCAACCAGCACAGCTTTAGCAACAGCAGTGGGACTCAACCTTTACACAAAGGTACAAACACATTGAGGTGCTGATGCAACTCAAACTTTACAACCTTTAAAGAGTCTATATAGACCCGAAAATAGATATTTCATCATCTACCTGCAGGTAGGGGTTTTATTTGTGTGTATGATGGTTTGTCTCCACCTTCTCCTGCAGAAAGCTCCTCCTCTCGTGGCTCGCTGGGTTCCATTCGCAGCCGTGGCTGCAGCCAACTGTGTGAACATCCCCATGATGAGGCAGCAGTGAGTTCTCCACCCGTAACATCCTTATCAGGCAGATTTTCTAGCAAAGGGGTCAAATAAAAGTCACAAAATTATTGGTCTTGTGGCGAAGAGGAAAGTATTCATACGCCGGAAACTCTGGTGTCACATTTACAGTCAATTACTGGTTGATTGGTTAGAAAATACTTTTTTTTTTGTTGTTGTTGTCAGACTTCTTGATGAGTAATATAACAATTGTATTTTCCGGACTATAGAGCTCATCTCATTATAAGCCTGGAAATCTAGAAACGTACATAAGCGTACATATACACTCACCGGCCACTTTATTAGGTACCCTATGCTAGTAACGGGTTGGACCCCCTTTTGCCTTCAGAACTTCCTCAATTCTTCGTGGCATAGATTCAACAAGGTGCTGGAAGCATTCCTCAGGGAGTTTGGTCCATATTGACATGATGGCATCACACAGTTGCCGCAGATTTGTCGGCTGCACATCCATGATGCGAATCTCCCGTTCCACCACATCCCAAAGATGCTCTATTGGATTGAGATCTGGTGACTGTGGAGGCCATTTGAGTACAGTGAACTCATTGTCATGTTCAAGAAACCAGTTTGAGATGATTCCAGCTTTATGACATGGCGCATTATCCTGCTGAAAGTAGCCATAAGAAGTTGGGTACAAGTTGGGTCATAAAGGGATGGACATGGTCAGCAACAATACTCAGGTAGGCTGTGGCGTTGCAACGATGCTCAATTGGTACCAAGGGGCCCAAAGAGTGCCAAGAAAATATTCCCCACACCATGACACCACCACCACCAGCCTGAACCGTTGATACAAGGCAGGATGGATCCATGCTTTCATGTTGTAGACGCCAAATTCTGACCCTACCATCCGAATGTCGCAGCAGAAATCGAGACTCATCAGACCAGGCAACGTTTTTCCAATCTTCTATTGTCCAATTTCGATGAGCTTGTGCAAATTGTAGCCTCAGTTTCCTGTTCTTAGCTGAAAGGAGTGGCACCCGGTGTGGTCTTCTGCTGCTGTAGCCCATCTGCCTCAAAGTTCCACGTACTGTGCGTTCAGAGATGCTCTTCTGCCCACCTTGGTTGTAACGGGTGGTATTTTGAGTCACTGTTGCCCTTCTATCAGCTCGAACCAGTCTGGCCATTCTCCTCTGACCTCTGGCATCAACAAGGCATTTCCGCCCACAGAACTGCCGCTCACTGGATGTTTTTTCTTTTTCGGACCATTCTCTGTAAACCCTAGAGATGGTTGTGCGTGAAAATCCCAGTAGATCAGCAGTTTCTGAAATACTCAGACCAGCCCTTCTGGCACCAACAATCATGCCACGTTCAAAGTCACTCAAATCACCTTTCTTCCCCATACTGATGCTCGGTTTGAACTGCAGGAGATTGTCTTGACCATGTCTACATGCCTAAATGCACTGAGTTGCCGCCATGTGATTGGCTGCTTAGAAATTAAGTGTTAACGAGCAGTTGGACAGGTGTACCTAATAAAGTGGCCGGTGAGTGTATAAGCTGCACTATCTACTGAAATGTCTCCCACTAAACCTCTAGGGGGAGCTCTAACCCCTAGCTTGTTGGTTCGCAGCAGTGTCATTACCCGATCCGTCCCGGAAGCACGATCCATTCTGCGCATGCGCAATCAGCTCATTTGCACATCCAGATATAAATCCGGGTCGTCGTCTATTTTATTTTGTTAAAAACACCTAAATGACGTTTTCCCTCCCCAAAAATAGTAAACATACGAAAATATGTGTTAAGGTTTGATGTATATCCTTAGAAAGTGAATGCCTTAAAATCCTTTCTGTTTCATCCCTCCTCTCTGCCCGATTTTTTTCGACTTTGGATTTAAACATAAATCTAGTCTTTTTGTCTGTGTTCGTTTCGTTTTAACCTTATGCTATATAGTGCGTAATCTAAAGAAAGAAAAGACTAAAATGCAGATAAACATGGTTTAATCACATTTTGCCGGACTGCTCTGAGCACGTCTGATGATGACATCAGAGATGACGAAGAAAATATAAGAAGCATAAAAATTGTCTCACAAAAGTCATAAAACATGTTTTACAGATGGGTATTAGCATTATTTTGTGAGTTAAGGATAGAAATAAGTTATTTTAGTACCATAATTACATTATTTATGGACACCAGGATGTATATCTATTTGCGCATGTACAGAACGGATCGTGCTTCCGGGACGGATCAGGTAGAGACAAGCAGTAAAAGTTTCTACTGAAAGATGGGGCTTCGTTGGCTCTTTATTTCAGCTCTGAGTTGAGCCCAGTCTCCTCATTGGTTCGGCAGCTTTAATGAGGCATAAATGTCAAAATCTGTGAATTTGGGACATTTGTTCTCTGTTGTCCCTACTGCTACCGTGTTCTTGTGCTAAATGAAAATTAGCTCCTTATTCTTTCATTTCCAACTTTGACTTCCCCCCCCCTGGCGGTTAGGAAAAAGCTGCACCTTCTTATAAGCCACGTGGTTCAAAGCGTGGGAAAAAAGTAGCAGCTTATATTCCGGAAAATACGGTACTTCATTTCAATTGCTTGTGGATTTTTGAATAGGCCTCAAAATTATGAATCGCATTATGAAAACATTTCTACACCAACTCTGTAACATGTATTAATTTTTTCTTTGTATTTTTTCAGGGAAATTCTAAATGGCATCGCCGTCACGGATGAAAACGGCAACAAACTTGGGCACTCGAAGGTCAGCAATTTATTTATAGATGGGTAATTACATCCAGGAGTTCCAGAACTCAAAGTATGGAGTGAGACTGGAGCTTAGCTAAAGTCTACTCATTTTCATTTTCCAGCAGCGTTTATTAGCAGATAATTAGCTAATAATACCAGTAATTAGTTTGAGTTTGTGCAAAAATGACCTAAATAAGATGTTTTTTTTTCCATCTATTAAATAATAGGAAACCTGTTTGGATAAATGGGACTAACTTAATAATAATACTTCATTGAACAACTTTTGTTTCAGCGCAATAGATCATTTCATTAAGCTGAATTGAAGTTGAGCTAATTTTGGGCTTTGGTTATGTCTGCTCATCAGCGTCAGACAGTAGGGGGCGACAAAAACTGCACGCGAGTTCTGGAGAGCTTGGGTTTCTGAGACTTTAAGATGGATTTCTGTTTTAACACCTTGGTCAAATAATGAATTATTAAAGCACTGAGCTTGAACACCTGTTAAATATTATATATCTAAAAATGGAGAAAGACCACTGCTCCAATTTATTCACAATCTTCCAAACTAATGATTCACACTCTAATAATCTAATAATCTAAAGGAACTACTGATTAAAACCAAAATATTGAAATGTTTGTTGGTCACAGTGGTGGCTGCATTATGCTCTGGGCTTAGCTGTCCTTCAGGTGGAGATGGGTTTTCTGTTTAAGGTGGCTTTAATTATGAGCATTTTTAAATACAAGTTCTAATCCAAATCCATTAGGGGTTCCGTCTCACGAAGTAGGTTTATTAAAAAACTCTGTTAACCATGAAATTAGGGGACACTCAGAGTTGACTAGGAATGTGATTTTGACCAGGAAGAACCCTTTTTCTAGTGATCTGAAATTGAAAGAAACGGAGAGGAGAGCAATTTTAATAAATGTCCAAATGGCCTGCCATAACAGACTACATATATACATAGCAATCTTCTCCTTTTTCATCTCCTTCTCAGCTGTAGAGACATTTCTCTCTTTTAAACGCATTCTCCAATATTTCTTTGTAATTCTGCATTAAAAATCTCTAGTTCCAGTGATGTGAAATAGGCACTGCCTCATGTCTGTCGTCATGGTGACCCGTCGTATAGGTGCTGTGCTGATAATGACTTTTCACTTTACACTCAGGCCCCGTCCACACAAAGTCAAAACGAACATGAAACACTAATATTTTCCAGAACGTTTGTCGCAAAGACGGAGACGTAAAATAAATGTGATCGTCCACACGAATGCATGAAAACGCTGCAAAATGTATGCCAGGCCTGTAAGTGGCGCTGTGGTGCCAAAGCAAAAATAGGCGACGAAATGTTGGGCATGCGCACTAATATTTATACATGGTTACCCTGCGGGTCCATTTTCGTGGTTCAGTCAAATTCAGGTGCTGAACTATGTCGTCGATATTGCTCTGTTCTTCCTGGAGATATTCCAGAAGAAGAAGATTCTGTTGTAAGCCCGACAGCAGGGTGAGTAGCATTAGCAGCAACCATTCAACACAGTACGGCGCCATTGTTGTTGTGATACTGTGTCGCGCATGCGTGTTTAGAGGCGACGCTATGACGCATGCGTGTAAGAAAAAAAATGCGCTTAGAGCTTAAAGATGGAAATGCGAAAATCTTCCCACTCGAAGGCTTGATTAAAAAAAAAAGATCATTTACAGACCCCCGAAACGCCGGCTTCGTATGGATGAGAGGCTGGTTTGGTGAAAAATTTGTGCGTTTAGGCCAGGGTTTGACTTCGTGTGGACGGGGCCTCACACTCGACTCCGAGTGTACCAACTCAGAGTTAATTAAACTAACTCACACCAGCTGTTGGGAAACCAAAACCTCAAGAGTTTCCAACTTTAGGCTAGATCAATTCAGAGTTGAGAATTTGACTCAGAGTTTGTTAAACCTGCTTTGTGAAACAGACCCCAGGTATCAGCTTAAGAACTGGAAATTAAGAGATATTTCTGTTTTTCAACATACATCCCAACCAAGAAAAACCTAACATGTGGTTTTTAATTAGGCCTAGCTAGAAAGCAGAGCTGAATCAGTGGAGTAATTTAAAGAGGGTGGGGAGGAGATTCTTTATCATCCAAAAGATTCATATTATCTATGCAAATGTGTGTTTGCATACCTGTTTGTTGCAGGTTTTTAATGAATTTCCTACTAAGATGTTTTTAATTCAGCTGAGTTGAGGATGTATACTTTGGACACATTAAATGTGGAAAAAATGTAGTTTTTATATCATAAAAACCATGCACTATAAAGACTCCCCGTATAGCTACTGGAGCTTTCTGAAATGGAACATTTTCACCTAAAACAGTCTAAAGTTAATTAACCCTTTAAAGCCTGGACCATGAAATAATTGACAGAAAATCCAATTTGAGTCGTCATTGAAAAACATACATTTTGTATAAGTTAAATTATATAATTTATTTGGATCAATTTTGATACATTTATAATCTTTTATACGTTTTCTGTTCACTGCATGTGTTTTCAAGAACAAAAATATCACACTGATGATGCAGACGTGTTGTGAATTAGAACAACCTTGTTCCATAGCTAGAGTTTGATTGATTAAAAGTATAATAAAGAATCCAGCAATACCTTTTCTAGACATTTGGTTAAAGTGAACACTTTGGTATTAAATCAAAAGATGCCCGGTTAGTTTTAATGTCAATTTTCAGCTTGATGTCCTTTGACCTTTCACCTGTAGAAAGCAGCAGCCAAAGGCATCACCCAGGTGGTCGTCTCTCGGATCACCATGGCAGCACCAGGAATGAGTACGAACGACAAACGCTCCTTTTTTTATTTTTATTTTTTTTAATTCACCATCATTCCGTGATTCATTCCTCTCCCCTAATCGACGCCCTTTGTTTCCTCTCTCAGTCATTCTGCCCATCATCATGCAGAGGCTGGAAAAGTACAAATTCATGCAGGTCAGATATTTGTCTCCATCAGTGTGCCTCTGCTAATGTCTCGTAATAATGTCCGCCCGTCCTCATGCCGGTTTCTGTCCATTAACAGAGAATCACGTTTCTACACGGACCAATCCAGGTCATGTTGGTGGGAGTCTTGTGAGTACAAAAGGTTGCAGGGTCACATTGGTTTTAATAGATGTTATTTTATTGGTAACTTTGGTCTTTTTCCACCTTTAAAAGTCTGATCTTCATGGTGCCGGCTGCCTGCTCCCTGTTCCCTCAGAGATGGTAATGAAACTATCCTTTCCTCTCACATGCTTTCACATTAAAATACCTCATCCCACACAGGCTGTCGCTGTTTCTATTGACCTTACATCTGATCAGGTCAAACGAGTTGAAGACGGGGAAAGAAAATGACAATCTGTGCGCTGATAAAGTCACCAGAAACGTTTGCCGCTGTGTAGTCTTGAGCGAAAGTTTAGTCGTTTTTTTTTTTGGCTGGATGAATGTAGAATAATTTATTTAAATGAAAGGAAAAATATTTAAACCCGTTTTCTTTTTTTTTTTTTTTCCTTTCGTTCAGACTTTTAACATGAAAATCATTTAGAGTCTCTTTCGTTTTTGTGG